AGTTGCTGAGGAAGTCCCCAGTAAGGGACGAAACGTTCAACAAGATCAAATAAATTTGTTCATCAAAATTTATTAACTGTCTTCAATTTTCCCTTTGAAACTCATATATATTAATATACTGTTGGGACAAGAATATTGATTATTAATTTAATTTTAAATGTTTCTTATATTATTATAAGCTGATAACATTACCTGGACGTCTTTGTGTTTAGCAAAAAGACTCAAAGCAAAGCACAATGCACTTGCTGTAGTATCGTGACCCTAGAAAAAAATGTTATTTCATAAAATATTTTCTCACTTTTTTTTTTATTCGAAATAAATACATTTATAATAACCTACTTCAAACATGAAAGTATCAACTTCTTCACGAATTCCTTCCTCATCTATACGATTATCTTTCCAAGATTCTGCTATAAGAAGGTCTAGCATAGAAAGTCTTTTCTGGGGTTCCAAATCTGTGATAGAAAAAATTCGATTGGCAATTCTATTGGGATTATAAAAATTTCATTATTATTTAAAACAATATGAAAAGTCTTTATCATCTTTTTCAAACCTTTATTAAAAACGTCGTCCTCGTGAAAATTCTCAAAGATTTGTAGATATTTCCCGTTTGTTTGTTCGTGGAAACGTTTTCTTTCTTCAATTATCTTAAATAAAAATAACAATTTTCAAAAATTAGATGACTTGCGTAACAGAAAGTTAAACGAATAATGGGAGGAACATACGTTTTTTGAAAAACTGTGCAATGTTTTTAACACTTTTTTTTGTAGTCTACCATGTGATGAAAATGCAAATATAGTATCGGAAATGTACCAAGGTCTTGGAAGTCTGATAAACCATAAATCACATTCTTCATTCGATTGATTTTATTTTTTAACAAATGATTAATTAATTACCTATACGCCACAATTCTGCCATAAGTATGAACGGCATTACGATATTTAGATTCCAGTTTGCCCTTTTCTTTCAATTGAATACCTAAAGCTGCTCCTACAAAGAAGCTTATGTAACGAATATTTGTTTTTCTAGTTAAAAAAATAAACATTTAAAGAAATTTATATATTTTTTTTTCACTAACGACATATGGCGTTGAGAGTATATTTGCTAATAAATGTTTGTAAATCTTTTACAACAGATTTTCCATTCCCTTCATTTTTAAGGGATTCCACTAAACATTGTGATTCCTCATTTAAAATGTGAAAATAATGATTAAGAATATTGAAGTGAAATGCAGGTGTTAACATTTTTCGACGCGTGTGCCATTTCTGACCTGTTAAATGAAGTATCGTTTTAAATATTAGTAAATGTATTATTTTGTGTGTGTGTGTGTGTGTGTGTCAATTTAAATTATTTACCGCTACTAGTTAATAATCCAGTAGAAAACCAAGGCATGAGATATTTGTAAATAGGTCCTTTTTTAATATGTACATTGCTCTTCAATAATACCTTTCATAAAAATAAATAATTTGTCACTTTTATAAATTTTTTGTATTACATAAATATATTGTTTTAGTATTATATATTATTTGAAAATTTGTATTATTATTAAAGTATTATATTAATGAATTATAATATGTTAGTATAAAAATAAGTATATTAAAATAATTTTAATTTTTTTGAGAGCTGGTTTATAAAGTCATCGTCGATTATGCATTTTTTAATACGAAAAAAATTAAACACATCTAGATTTTCTATACTTTTCAAATAGTTAAATAATAATTTACTTTGTATACTTATTACATATATAAATATACATTTGAAATCTATACATTACATAATAATTTACCTCAATATCTTTTGGATCAAGTAATACTACTCCTGATAAAAGGAAAGTCCATACTTTGTAAATTGGATAATATTTATTATTTAGTTTCCATGCTGTTTCAAGTAAATGCTCTATATACATATATATATTATTGGTAATAAATTATTATTAAGTGAGAATTTTATCATAGTTTATTGGATAATTCCTAAAGATATATATTTTCATATTTCTTACCATTGTCAACTTGAAAATGATATATATTTCCAATTATCGGATATTCATGTGGTCCTGGAAGAAGACTTAAAAGTCTTCCTACTTTTCTATATCTTATATAGCAGTGTAATAAAAATATAATTAAAATTGAACCCAACGAAATAGCAAGCAACATTTTATCTGTGAAACAAGCAAAATTAGAGAAATTAACCACTTTCTAATGTAGCAAGAACAATTTTACGTATTAATTATTATTTATAACAATTTTTTTAAAATATTTACGTGCTTCTCAATGATCGATATAAACACTAGAATCGATGAAGTGATTGAAAATTAACACAAATTAAATTGTTTAATTATTCGTTTCCTTTTAATTTATTTATATATACGCGTGAGCTTATTTCGTACGATAAAAAAAAAGATATCAGAGTTTTTTCTATCCTTTTTCACAGCTGACAAAAGTTAAAGATTCTAATGTATTTAAGATGCTATTTCCCATTGTCCCACAAATTCTTACGTTTTTGTTTATACATCCTATGCATATTTGTTTTGTTTTGTTGCAGAACTCATACTTTTTGTATATACTTTTCTGATCAAGTAAAGAAACCATAAAATCAATAAGTATGTATTCATATGTATTACAAAACATTCATTTTATTAATTTTTCTTTATTGGACTTAATCGCATTGGCTTCTGAACGATTCATTTATTGATACCTGGTTGTGTATTACGATATACAAATATAATGATAATTATTCCCTAGTAGAAACGTATTTGCTAAATGCATAATTGTTGATTAAAATTGTACAAAGTTTTATATTAACAAATCTACAATAAGTAATACAATAAGTAAACATGATTAATTTGTATAACGAGAGAAGATAACAAAATTGAGTTACGTGTGTATCCAAAGGTTATATCTCTTACCAACTAGATATCGATAAAAAAATTAATGCGCATCAAAAGAATATTTTATCTACGTATTAGATAATTAATATAAAATATAAATATAAATATAATTAATATAAATATACATTTTGTCTGTATTTATTGGGATATTAATGAGAATGAAGAATGAATGTATGTAAAGAGTAGAATGAAAAGGGGTGAATGAATCAATGAGTGAACAAAATAAATACACATTATGTAAGAAATCATCAATCTGTATTAGCACATGAATTAAGGAAGGTCAGAAGATTTAAAAAACAAGATAACATATAAACGATAACAACACGTAGGTGAGTAAGTGCATAGATTATTTCAAATGATTATTGTGGGGAGGAGGGGGACAAACCTTGACCTCATGAAGCACTCAATTTCGAATCGTCCAATTCATAAACGGTTCATAGTACTTAAGAATAACAAAAATAAAGCAAAAGAATTGAACAAACAATTTTGCAAAAAATTTGTTACCAGTAGATACTTATTTTATGGATATAAATTTAATGGGAAAAAATTTAGATCAGTGAAGATTAAGCAATGTTTGTATTTTTAATGTTATTAAGTTGATTTATTGCAGGAATGGTCAACATGTCGATCGCGAAACGATTTTTCGAAGACGTTTTGTCGAAATATTTAATATTAAAAAAAAAAAAAAACCCCCCGTAAGAAAATGAATAATAATAAAAAAATAAATCTGCAAACTGATTTAATCTTACATGTGTCAAAGAAATGAACATATTGCGGACGAATGTTAATCGTTAGCGGCCGTTTTAGTGATATTACGCAGTTATTTTCGATCTATATACTTATGTGAATCAGCTTTTTTATATTTAAAGTTAACAAAAACTAAACATTGTTTTCTACTTTCTAATTATCATATTGAAAATTCATTATCATTATCTTTGTCCAGATATACAACAAATAATGAACGTTTGGTTTGAATCATGCAAACACACAATTATATTATAAGAAAAAAAGATTTCATCTGTATATTTTCTATATATGATTACTTTTTGATTAATAAATATTAATAAATTATCATATTTGTTTAATACCTTCCTTTTCATTGTCATCTATTAATACACAAGATACATGCTTGAATATGTTAAATGACAAGATTTTAATTTAATAAGATGGTGACAAATTAAAAAACAAAAATCTAACGCAAATAAAATAAAATTGGCTATCCCCGATCTGTTGATTCCAAAAGTAAAAACTGTAAAATACGTGAGCTGACATTAATTTATGCTCATTGTCAGCCATTGTAAATCATTGCCCTATGAAAATAAAGATATTAAGCAATTATTAAGATTTGTTCTCAATTCTTTATAGCAACACTTACCGATTTTGTAATAATGATAATTGTGGATAGCTGAACACAGAAGCGAAAATTAATAATAATAAAATGTGTATTTTGTAAATGAAATAAAATAACAAATCATTGCCCTATGAAAATAAAGATATTAAGCAATTATTAAGATTTGTTCTCAATTCTTTATAGCAACACTTACCGATTTTGTAATAATGKTAATTTTGGATAGCTGAACACAGAAGCGAAAATTAATAATAATAAAATGTGTATTTTGTAAATGAAATAAAATAACAAATCATTGCCCTATGAAAATAAAGATATTAAGCAATTATTAAGATTTGTTCTCAATTCTTTATAGCAACACTTACCGATTTTGTAATAATGKTAATTTTGGATAGCTGAACACAGAAGCGAAAATTAATAATAATAAAATGTGTATTTTGTAAATGAAATAAAATAACAAATCATTGCCCTATGAAAATAAAGATATTAAGCAATTATTAAGATTTGTTCTCAATTCTTTATAGCAACACTTACCGATTTTGTAATAATGGTAATTKTGGATAGCTGAACACAGAAGCGAAAATTAATAATAATAAAATGTGTATTTTGTAAATGAAATAAAATAACAAATGACAACAGAGGCACGAATTAAACTGTGGCTAACTACTTTACAATGAAGTCCTAATTGTTCAAATCATACTGACTTTTTTCAGCTGGTGACAGTATATATGTTACAATCAATGTATATACTAGGAGCATTGTATAGATTGTTCGGGACATTTTATAGAATGCCCTATTAAGAAATTTGGTAATGTATACAATACTCGTAATAATACGTTGATAATAACATATACAAAACAAGACACGTCAATTTACACAAATAAACGTTCCCACTCCTTGCAAAAAGATGTTAATACGATTCTCCTTAATCGTCATTATCTTAACAACTTTGTTGTTAAGATAATCTTAAATAACTCGATAAGACAGCTATTTATTAAATTCTACAATCTTGTTATTTGGACAATTAATCAACACGATTAATCGTATCTCTACGGTTACGTTAATAACGTTCATTTTTATTGTTTTCAAGTGAAAAATATTCATTAAGATACAATAGTTTATATTTGCAATAGAAAATAATTATTAATAAATCTTACGTGTTAATATATTGAGTATAGACTATGTATGTATTAGGTCGTTAAAAATGAAACTTTCGATTATTCCAATTACATTGTTAGAAATCGGACATTTCATAATTAATTGTTTAATATATTTACCTTGGTTATAAAATAGTATTGCACTTGCCAAAAAATTAATATTAATTTATTTAAACAATATAAAATAATGTATTAATATAAAATAAATTTAATATTAATATTAAATAGACAATTTTTTAATATTGCAAAGCAAATCTGCTTATAATATTAAAAATCACTTCCGAATGTTGCGCATGTGTAAAAAAGGAATAATTCATCTAATCGATAAAATTTAAGATTATAACGCTCATATTTTAGCATTTTTTCATTTTTATGTAATTGTTTAAACTAATGCACATTTGTTTTAACGTCTCTGCGCAGTAATGACATCGGAGAGGGAAATTTTCATGGTAAAGTATTTTATCAAAATGCGAAGCCAATTTTGAGAAAAAAGCTTTTATTTTTTATTTTTTTGTATACATGTTTATATTATCTTAAATGCGACTGTTTATTAAGTAGTGGGCTAGCGTAAGTAGTAACGTTCTTGCTTCTCGTGCTGCTAGTTAGTATATTTGATCCTTCATGAGGGAAACTTTTTTTAATAATTTTTTTCTATCTGTTTTCAAATTGTTTTCTCATATTTCTTAATTTTTAAATATATACAGGAAAGAGAAAATTATTTATTACAACAACAAAATTAGAAATAATAAATTTTTTAACATCTTGCGCAAATAATAAAGAAAAATTTAATCCTTTAATTAAAGTTAACATTTTATTTCCCTATATATTTTCCCTATAAAATTAATGTAACATACTCCAGAAAAATAAAAAAAAATAAAAAGAAAGTGAATTAAACATACCTTATCCCCACATTACTCATAAAACAATCTCACATTATTATAAATAATATATTATTGATATTACAAATATTTCGATATATTATCATCAACTTCCCATATAAAAATAATTTATTATTTATATTTAATATATATATACATATACCTAATTAAAATTCTATATATTATAATATACGTANTATACGTAATTTATTAATTTTTAATTATAAAAATTGATTTTAAATTATTAAATTATAATTTATTTATAAATTATATGAAATATTAGAATAATTTACGACAACTACTCTTATTATATCTATTTTTTTAATAATACTAGAAATTACTAATGAGGACGTGCTAAATTATTTGTTTTATAGAACTAATACGATAAGCAACAAAAGATATAGATTTTCCCTGAGTTTGTACAATTTTTTGGTGAGTTTTTACAATTTGCCATTACTTTGTTTGATGTGATATCTGCATATGAAAACTTTACACATAATAATCCGTTTTATATAGAATAAAAGTCTGCATTTGAAACAATTTTAATAAATTTCTGTTCGAGAATGAAGAATTAATGTTTTCTACAGTTCATAAAGTTTTTTGTTAAGCAAATGAATACAGGTAAATTTTCTTAGAAAAACGTTTTTATTTAATATGGAACATTAAAACAATTTCATAAGAACGTATATATCTAATACACATTGAGTTATATATAATTATAATTCATTAATTCAAAGTTGTCGTCTCTTGTTTAAACGATTGAATTGACAAAAACATTCTTTCTTAGGAGAGATTTTTATGGTGTGATTGAGACGAACTTCCAGATTATTTCCGTTTACTCGGACCCTTTAATTATCCTTAATTAGGTATCCGATCTCAAAATTAGAGGCATATCAGAAATATGTTTTTATGACTTTTTCCATTTATTTTTATAGGTTTCATTAAAGTATTGACATGTATCTATAAAACACCCTGAATATTTGATCTTTTTTTATAAAACGACGTTGATGGTAAGCGCTTTAAGAGAAAACGAAATAGAAATAAAAATAGATATATATATATAGAAATACAGAAAAAGAGAAATAAAATAAGAAATCTAAAGAAAAAAAAAAGAAATCTACTTTTGTGTGTATTATATTCAATTACCTTAGAATCCTCCGTATGAAGTTAGAACTACGATCTAATAAAAGAAAATATCCATATTTTGTATAATTGATTAAAATTAGCTGTTTGTTTTGCAAAGTTTGTCCAATAAGTGTTCTCAATTATGAATAAAATGTTTTTGAAAAATTGATAATGACATTCAATAGGAAGAGTCACAAGTTAACAGATTTTACTATTTTCGGTTTAGAAAAAAAAAACCATTTATTTTTCTTTTGGATCGAACTTTTTGTAAGGAATTTTTTTTATTCGTATAGATCTTATAAGGCAGTGAATAGAAATTAAAAGGAACATTGAACTCAACAAGATCATGCTGTACATTATATCTGTAAAAGACAAAAAAATTAATCAAAAATACTCTTTGAAATATACAATCGTATGTAAAAAAAAAAAAGTAAAGAACATGTATTGATTCGTGCATTTTAATAATTTATATATTAATATATTTATATGTTTATAATATAATTATTCATATATTCTTATTTTATTTTTGTGCATTATAGAATTAATATATTTACTTTAATTATGACGGGTAAAAATATGATAGATAACAGGAATATGAGACACCATAACTTTTTTCTTAGGCGATATTTCGGTCTTTGATTTGATTTTCGAAAAACGTTATAAGCATAGAAATCATTTTCACGTACCTTTCGTAGATTTAACGGATTAATAAACAAATAATATTAATGCAAGGTTAAAAGATTATGTTGAAAATAAATAAATCTGGAAATTATATCTATTCGATACGAGTGGCAGAAGAAAACTAAGAATATTGTGTGAGATAGAATAGTCAAAAGGGTGCTTTTAATGTCTTCGGTATATGATAGACAAAGGGCAAAGAAGCGAACTTCCGGTCTAGTTTGACTCACTAAGTATTTGAAACGTTTATAAATTTACTAAGTACTTATCTAGTATTATCAATTAAAATAACAAAAAAGTAAACATAAGTTAATTGTACTGATATCTAATGACTAAAGATAAATAAAGGTCAAGGTATAACAGTACAATAAAATGAAAGATGTTTTCTATAGATGTAGAATTAATGGATACTCTTAGCTCGAAATCACGGAGGTACTGTAACTTTCGAAAGATGCTTGCACACTTCTAAACAATTTATTCCACTTATGATATTTCTAAACACTTAATCTAAATTAATGTTCTTAACACGTTGATTAAATTATCCAGTTATCATACACCTATTAGTGTTATCATTCAATTTTAACATATATATGTGTGATTCCCTCTCAATGGGCAATCTTCCGAAAGAATATCTGACGAACAAAAAATAGGAGTTCTGATAATGTTGATGATAGGTTCGTTATGAAAGAAAACCTCTTTTTACGGAAATACAGTATATTTTAGAAAATTAAATAAAAAATTAATATTAATAATATAGTAAGACACATGTTCACTGCATAGCTATAAGACAATAACTGCTTTCTATTTCTTTTATTCGGTCTTTGACTCGCTGTTAGACACTCTATTGCTATTTGACTGTTTAAATAATGTAAAGTAAAGGAACTAATAGTAGACTAGTTAAAAAAAGTCTTTAACACAAAAAATTGAATCTAATTGTTCTGCTATTAAATAACAAGAGGTGAATGCCATTTTTTAATCTTTATACATTATCTGACAAGACCACTTTAAAAAAAAGTAAAGTTACACAAATTAAAAAAACATATTTAAAATTAGAGGAATAGTTTGAAAAGTAGAATGAAAAAATTAATAATCACCCTTTTGTTCGTTAGCAGTTTAAATTCAAAAGCTTATTAATTTAATCGGGAAAATTTGTCGAAGTATAGGTTTTTTATCAGAACATTACAGCATTTCTTAGCAGACATGTAACAAGATAAGAAATATCAAGACATATTACAAATTTAAGACAAATTAGACGACCATTTTTAGTTTCGTGCATCTCTCTCGTTTCACTTTTTTATTATAATATTTGACTGACATTTATCGTAGAAATAGATACTGCATGATATTAACTGTATGTAATTTAAAAAACAACTATTAGTTCATATAATAAATGCTTTAGTACTTTTTTTATATTCAGTATTAGACTGATTCAAATTCGTTCAGAATCAAATGCCTGGACTTCTGCAAAATGTTATTATTATGTTTTTAAGGTAAAATAATAAACTGTTCATTCTCAGTAATAACTAATATTTTTTTAGTGACTGGTATTTTATGCACAATCAATTGGCTCTAGTTTATAAATAATTTCTTGCATCCAGGGTAAGTAGTAAGAAATGCGGGTATAAAGAGAATAGAAACGGGTATTACAAAATACATTACCTGCCTCTAAATTTGCACTAATTCCAATACTGACAATACCTCTTAAAAACCATAATCCTCCAGCTTGAAATACAAGTCCCCCTCCACTATCACCATTACAGACAGACGTTCCTAGAATAAATGTATTGATATTACTTATGAACATATTACATTTTACATACTGATTTTTAACAAACTACCAACCATTTGTATAGCCTGCACAAAATTTATCACTTGTTACATACTGCTCGTATATAACAGAATTATTTATAGCTTTGCATTGTGTTGCAGATACGTAGGGTAGTTTTGTAATTTGGAGACGAGGGCTGGATGACATAGAGGCAGTAAATCCAAATCCCGCAACCACTCCAAGTCCAGACTGAATAATACTACCATCTAAACATGCTGGCACTAACATATTTGTAAATACAAATGGTACTTCAATTTGTAAGAGAGCTATGTCAAAAGCATCATTTCCTAATGAGCCCAAATAATTACAATGAACATAAATATGTTTTACCTGAAAAATAATATATGATACATTTGACAATAAATAAGTTATATATATATCAATTCGAGGATTCATATTTTATCAAATATTAGATAGACTGTTTTTTTCATACCCTAGCTTTTTTGACAAAACGTATATCATGCTGTTCATAATCATAATCACGATTTGTATTTCCAGTTGCAACGTAAAATTGTCTAGGGTCCTTTACTCTACTAATTGTTTCATCGAAAACACAATGAGCAGCGGTGACAAGAAAATTCTCTGTTATAATTGTTGCTCCACAAATAAATTCTTTTGGTCCATTTATTTGTTTCGCCTCATACAAAGTAGCATGCCAAGGGAGAAATTTAGCGTTGATTCCATTTACAATGAACGGTTTTGCGTTTAGAGTTGACACATTCCCACATCCTAGTATATGTATTTAAAGTAAAATTATAATGTTTAATATTTGCGCAGAAATAATGACAAATTGTGTACAAAATATATTAAAATAATATAAATATTCAAGATTATCGTAGTAAATAATGTGTATTGTAACAAAATATTTAATAAAAAATAATTAATAGTCTAGATTTCAAGTAATAAATAAGTCTTAAGAAAAAGTTTACAACTATTATGTATGTTATTATTTGATTAAAAATTATTAAAGATAATTTTTCGATTTTCAAATAAAGTAATATTTATCGATAAATAAGGTATGATATACGGAAAACAAATTTTGAATAAAAAAGAAAGATTGTTATTTTTATCAGAAAAAATTATAAAGTTGCAAAGCGTTTTTTAACACCGTAGAAAATGTATTCATATCTCTCACATTTTCTAGATATTCTGTAGAATAGCAAATGAGAAATCGGTAAAATAAAAAAGCAAATATGAAACATTTCATTCTAAACCCGCTTGTCTTCTGATACTATACGGAACAAAAGATAAAGATTTTCTATGGTAATCTCTATGAATACCGGTCTAAACGTAATATAATCTTCTACTAACCTTGATGGGCCCACTACCGCAGTCGAAACCGATAAATGCGTCCGAATACGCCAATGTCGCCAACAAAATGATGATCGCTACGCACATTTTTCCCTGAAAGATTTTGTTTACGAGGTTGCTCAATATATATATTTTTTCTTTTGATTTGTTTATTTGTATTTTAGTATTTCTTAAAAATGTTTAATTAATTAGAATATCAAAATGCTGATTCATTTGTCAATGCTACACCCAAATTACCCCGAGGAGCATATATGGGAACGGCTTCAATGAAATACCAGAGAGAGACGGACATGTCACAGTAAAGAAATTTTGAATATACTTTTTTAAGTCATGTAGAATAGGTGGAAATATTTGCATTATTTCTAACTGCGATAGTGGTACAATATCAAATTTACGATTTCCACAATAAATAATTCAAGAAAATTATGCTCTATGATTAATACGGTACTGAATATAAAAAGTCACAATTAGCATAATATCACTAATGATGTACTTGCAGTATGTTATTGCAGTAAGAGAGAAAGATAGGAAGAGAGATCTTCTTATAATAATAATTTGAGTTTATTTAATCTTTAAATTTAAAGAGCAATCATGTTATATTTCATATAAAGTTGTAATCGTGAGATATGTGGTGTAAACATATTGTTACATAATAATTATATCGACTAACAAATTTAAACTACTACGACATTGAACTATATTTCTTTCACATTTCTTTTTTTCTTAAATTCTTTTATCTTATAATTTTTATCATGAGATTTATAGTTCACGTTTATTGATATCATGTATATAATAAAGAGCAAACGTATAAAATTGTTGCATAGTGTTCTACACAATCGACGCGCAAGCAGTGATAAATTCTAGTTGATGCCAGACAACACAAGATAATTTTCTATATTTTTCTTTTAATCATTATGGCAATCACAGATAGGAAGTGTTTATATTTTATTGCATTTAGCTGTAAGTAATATAATTACATTATATTATTTTATATTTCGAACAATTTATATAAACTCTACATTTATATGTATTTGATGATCTATTTAAAATGATTAGACTAGATGTCTTTAATGATGATAGTTTTTTAAAACAATATTACGAATTAGCTTTTACAGAATATTAAAAAAAAAATTGAATTTTGTAGTAGAGGAGTTTGATAGAAAAGGCTTCGGTCAGTATACAAAAATATTAATAAATTTTTTTCATGAAAATCAATTTACAATCGACAATGTATGATTTAAAAAATATAGACATGAATTTAGAGAGTCTGTAATTTACGTGTTTTAAAGATGGTCAATACGTTATAACGTTAAAAAAACATCTAATTACAAATAAGTTCATAAATTAAATATTTTTTTCTCCTGTATATTATTTCGATTATTTTATTTCATGTGTATTTTCAATGATTTAAAAATTAAATTTTAAAATTAAGAGATGCTTTAAATATAAACATATAGTGTGCCTCAGTGTTTTTTCATCTTAAGTTATCAATGCATATGGCTAGCAAAAAAGAGATTAAAAGGCCATGTAAAAATATACGCTTAAATGACTTATTAAAAAGTTTTAATCAAAAATACAAAATGATTAGAAACTGGTTTTTCGACAGAAGTTAGAACATAGAATTCTATAGATTTATTATTTAGAGAAATTAAGGAAAATTAATATGATATTAGTAATAAATTAGATTTTATTGTTTGTAGATGTAAGTTCTTCAGACATACCAACAAACAGAGTTTTAAAAATCAATTATAGGTGATTTTAAGCATTGTGATATGAACCAGCACGATACCAGTTTCATATTAATTAATATTTTTGTTTCGAACTTTTTAATAAAGAATTTAGGAGCAAATGCTTAATAAATTATCTGTTATCTTAGCTTGTATAATAAATTGCGAACGTATAGAAGAAAAAACTACGAAAGCCTAAATAAATACGTATATACACCCAAATAAGCGATACCAGTATTACAACATGTACAAGTAGTTTTAAATAGGGTTATCAAACTTCAGAAATTCCCAGTAATAAATTATCTTCTAAAAAAACGTTAATCTTCATTATATATTAATTAATTGGCAAATATATTCGATACTCATTATTTGTTTATGTTAATTTTTTAAAATTTAGTCAAAAATAAATTTAATAATTTTTGCATCGCAGTTGACATATGCAGAAAAAAATTTTGTCCTATAATCAAAATCGATAGTATTTTTGTTTATAAAAATAAATATGATTTATAAAGAACAAATAGACTAATAAATAATTTATTGTTCACACATATAGGACGCATTTTGTTACAAGAAATGAAAAACTGGATTTAAGTATGATTATTAAAACTAACTAATGTCGGAGAATAATATTACTTACATTGGCGAGGATAGAAAGTCTGTATAAGTATCATGAAAAGATTTATTGAAAACATTGATAGTGAACTTGTGAATTTCGCGCTAATCTATAAGCTGATAGGAAAATTATCTTACCGAGAGAAGAAAGGAACTAATATGAAAGTAACAACAGTAAATGAAAAAAATAGTTATCAGAACCCATTAGACTAGAGACGCGACTTACGGCTTGTAAAAAGTAATTTACGTCACATTACGCAGTAACGTTGCTAACAGGGACTGTTGGGGTAGTTTTTTGGTCAAACTAGAATATATGATAACTAGTACCAGGACATACTGGGAAATTAAAATCTGTTAACCAAATATTGTTTGGGACGTCTCTTACTACAAAAAAATATATCAAAACATAGGATCTAAGAAACCGCACCTAGAACTGTATTTATGCAGGTTTCAGCAACATGGAGTTCTCTTGTCATTATTATAAACTGATCATGAGGAAGAGTAAAGGTCACATTAAGATAAAAAATAAAACACTTGGTTGAGCCAATACAAAGTTTAATACTTCATTGGCTTGTGAGGAAAAAGCCTTCCAGCATAAAAACACGAGTTGATAAATAAGATATAATAATCCAACGTCCACCCAAAGATTGGACACGAGACTAATCTCTCACAAACTTTATTTGTATAAGGATTCAATAACGAAATAATCTCTCGTTAATCAATAGAAGTGTAAGGGTAGCTTACATATTTCACTTACTCGCTTTCTGATGCATTGGCCACTTTCGCGGTGGAAACTTCTGTGGAAAGGATAAAGATTGCTAACACACTTTGTCTTCTTTAACGCTTTCTTTGCATATGCATCCATGATTCTTAGTCGTCTGAGATGTGTTGTCGTAGACGTCAAGAATATTATTATACAGGATAGAGCTCTTTTAATAATATCAGATTCATAACCAGTGATACCAAAAGCTCTAAAAAATTTATTTGCAAAAACAACTAATACGTTTCCCGTCAAAATTAAGTTTAGCATAGAATATGTATGCTTGCGTGACTCGTTATTTTCAATTAGAGAGTAAAAAATCATTTTATTATTAAAAGTTTATTTCCCTTTTACACTGTATAGTTCTTTTGTAATAAGCCCTCTTAATACATGATAAAATAGTTAATTCATTGCTTTCATTTTTTAGACTTCTTAACATTCATACTACCTTCAAGTCATGCAGAGAATGCAAATATTTGCTTAGCGCCTCCACAGCCCGATAATGGTAGTCGAAAATTACTTAATTTAGAAAGTTTTATACTAAGTGAAGTACAAGAAGGTACTGAATTACCGTTTGAATCTTTATTGAAATACGAATGTAAATATGGCTATAAAGTTTTGGGTTCCAGTATTTCAAAATGTAGATCCTATGGAAATTGGGTTAATATTCCAGTTTGTAGAGGTAACATTTATAATTTAAACTTTATTGTGATAAATAATTTTTTTTCCTAATAATTTTTTTTCTTTTATGAAATATTCTGTAAATAGTAAAATTTTATTATAATACATAATAAAAATATTTTTTTTCGTAATATATATAAAATATATAAATATATTCTTAATATATTTCATATTTTAAAAACATTTATGGTTTGTCCTATTAATCATGTGATTCTTAAGATTTTTAATTGTGAGTTTCTTTTTTGAAATATTATATTACAATAGCAATAAGTATTAGATACTAGAATATGTTTGAAGAGTAATACCAGATAAATATAAAATTAGTAATATTTTTTCGAATAAGGTATAATAGTTTTTGTTTTAATCATCTTTTTAAAATGTGGTATACATGTGCTAATAGGTCATAGGTATAAAAACCCCGAAATATACTTAAATGCATATACTAGTAATAAAAATAATGCATATATTAGTAATAAAAAACTAATAGTTTTTTTTACAAATTTTTTAGCATGTCGTTTATATGGGCGAAATGGTCAACGAAATGAAAACGACGAATTATCTAGTACTATAAATTTTGCATGTCATGCTTCTTTATTTATACAAAAAACTGCAGACGGATCGAAGGATTTCATTTGCGGAGCAACAATTATACAGGAAAACTTACTTCTTACCGCAGCGCATTGCGTTTACGACAAAGAGAACCAAAGGGCACAAAACCCAAATAAATATTATGTTGCTGCTGGAAACATTTATCCTGAATATGATTCTGATCAGCATGACCAGCAATTAGTTCAAAAGTCTAGAGTATGGAATATCTAAAAGAATTCGCTATAATATTAAAATAAATAATAATTGTTTAAAATAGTGTATGCATTAGGAATAGATTGATAATAATAAAATTAATAATATACTATTTTTTAGGTGAAAAATATTCACATTAATGAAGAATATTTGGGAATCCAAGGAAATTTTACAGCGGATATTGCCATTTTGGAAATCAAAACCCCATTCGTATTTTCAAATTTGTTATTTCCAGCGTGTTTAGATGTTTCTTCAAATTATATTCTCTTAGGGAAAATCATAGATTTTAGTCACAATGATTCTGTACTTAGCCGTAATTATGTAGTTCACACAGTATATATTAAAATTCCATTTAATCAGTGCAAAATTTTCAATAATTCCATTGAATTTGAAAGGTACAAGACAATGGATAAATTTTGCGCTGCCCCAAAAAGTGGTTAGTAACGAAACAAAATCTATATAGAAAATGAAACATATGTAATTGATAACATTCATTTAATATATGTTTTCTAACAGAATTGGGCTGTAGTGGAATTGACGGAAGTGGACTAATAATTCAAACGAAAAATGGTTATTTTCTAGAAGGAATTAGAAGTAGCCCTTTAAGTGTATTAAACACAGGTAGTTCAGAAACTTGCGGCAGCCGCTCATATTCTCTTCTCACGCGTATATCCAGTTATAGAGCTTGGATCCGAGATATGATTTTACAAATAGAAATATCTAATCTATTTTCCTCGTCTCGTGATTCAACTGTAACTAGTACGACTTCAACAACAATTGCTTCATTTATACCACATTCACAAAGTACTACAACCACATCTTTTCCGTTAATCACAAGACCGATTGTTTGCAAAGCGCCTCCTCAGCCTAGGAATGGTAATCGTCAATTACACGAGTCACAATGCCAGTCACAAAATGACTGTGATGTGCAGGAGGGTGTAGAATTACCCACAGGGTCATATTTAACTTATAAATGTTATGATGGATACGAAATTAGTGGTACCCATGACGTATTATGTAGTTTAAACGGAAAATGGATAAACATTCCAGTCTGTATTGGTAAGATTTTCATTTTTAGTGTTCTTATTACAAGGGTTATTTCAAAATTGCCTCACATATCTATAATATTATTTTTTCTGTATTACTTTAAATTACTTACGAGGTAACTGTATATATTATTTTAGAAATATATTGTGACTCATTGGTTTCTGCATCAACATTTGCTGATTGTACATATAACGACGAATGGACTTCTTGCGAGTCTAGTGTTAAACCTGGAACAATAGCTAAATTAATTTGCAGAAATGGGTATAAACAAGATTCGACTATCCTATCAATACAAAGAGATCAAGTTACCTGTAACGATAAAGGTCAATGGACACCAGATCCAATAAAATGCATACCAGGTCTACAAGCTTTTAATGTTCAAATTGGGATAACAATAATATATTAATCTTTTCTGATAAAAATAATAATCCTTATTTTATTTAAAATTGATTTTTTTAATATCATATTTTTCTATCGATAAATATATCTTTAACTTAAAAATAGAAAAATTATATTTAATAAGTTCAAATTAAATTATTACATACTTAAAGTTGTTAACTATATCTTAAAGTTTTTTTATTACATTTAAAGTCTGGACTAATAATAATTTTCTATTCAATATTTTGTTATAATACATTAATACATATTATTTACTACGATAATTTTGAATATTTATATTACTTTAATATATTTTTGTACACTTGTCATTAATTTTGCGCAAATATTAAACATTATAATTTTACTTTAAATACATATTCTAGTATGTGGATATGTGCCAACTCTATACGGTACACCGTTCATTGTAAATGGAATCAACGCTAAGTTTGTTCCTTGGCATGCTACTTTGTACGAGACGAAACGATTAAATGGACCAAAAGAATTTATTTGTGGAGCAACAATTATAACAGAGAATTTTCTTGTCACCGCTGCTCATTGTGTTTCCGATGAAACAATTAATAGAGTAAAGGACCCTAGACAATTTTACGTTGCAACTGGAAATACAGATCGTGATTATGATTATGAACAGCATGATATACGTTTTGTCAAAAAAGTTAGGGTATGAAAAAAACAGTCTATCTAATATTTGATAAAATATGAATCCTCGAATTGATATATATATAACTTATTTTTTGTCAAATGTATCATATATTATTTTTCAGGTAAAACATATTTATGTTCATTGTAATTATTTGGGCTTATCAGGAAATTATGCTTTTGACATAGCTCTCTTACAAATTGAAGTACCATTTGTATTTACAAATATGTTAGTGCCAGCATGTTTAGATGATACTATTATTCACTCTGGACTTGGAGTAGTTGCGGGATTTGGATTTACTGCCTCTATGTCATCCAGCCCCCGTCTCCAAATTACAAAACTACCCTACGTATCTGCAACACAATGCAAAGCTATAAATAATTCTGTTATATACAAGCAGTATGTAACAAGTGATAAATTTTGTGCAGGCTATACAAATGGTTGGTAGTTGTTAAAAATCAGTATGTAGAATGTAATATGTTCATAAGTAATATCAATACATTTATTCTAGGAACGTCTGTCTGTAATGGTGATAGTGGAGGGGGACTTGTATTTCAAGCTGGAGGATTATGGTTTTTAAGAGGTATTGTCAGTATTGGAATTAGTGCAAATTTAGAGGCAGGTAATGTATTTTGTAATACTCATTCCTATTCTCTTTATACCCGCATTTCTTCCTACTTACACTGGATGCAAGAAATTATTTATAAACTAGAGCCAATTGATTGTGCATAAAATACTAATCACTAAAAAAATATTAGTTATTACTGAGTATGAACAGGTTATTATTTTACCTTAAAAACATAATAATAACATTTTGCAGAAGTCTAGGCATTTGATTCTGAACGAATTTCAATCAGTTTAATACTGAATATAAAAAAAGTACTAAAGCATTTATTATATGAACTAATAGTTGTTTTTTAAATTACATACAGTTAATATCATGCAGTATCTATTTCTATGCTTACGACAAATGATAATCAAATTTAAAAATATTTACGTGGGAAAATATGTGTGAATACTAATAACAGGCGTCTAAATTTATTCAAATAAGTAATATGTCGTTATATTTTGTCCCCTAATGTTTCTACTAAAAAATGCTGTAATGTTCTGGTAAAATACCTATACTTTGTGAACTTTTCCCGAAACAATTAATTACTCTTTTAATAATATTTAACAGCTAAGAGCAAAAGGTTAATTATTGCCTTTTTCATGCAACTTTCGAAACTATTACTGAATTTTTAATTTCAGTAACATCACTATTTTTTTAAAGTGGCTTTGTTACATAATCTAGAAAGCTTTAAGAGTTTAATTTGACTCTTGCTATTTAATGGCAAAGCAATTATTTACGATTCTTCGTGGTGAACACTTACTTTAACTAGTCAACTATTAGTACCTCTACATTACATTATTTAAACAGTCGAATAGAGCAATATAGTTTCTCACGGCGAGTCAAAGACCGAATAAAGGAAAAGAAACAGAAAGCAGTCATCGGCTAGGTAGGGAGCGACAGGGACGATGAAGCAAAAGATAGGCTTGAAGTTAAAAGAACGATGAAAGGTAGACCAGTTAACGCAGAAAGAGCGGTAAGGTCGGAGACGAGGAATACAATAGAGCAGTATGTATTGAAGGGAGAGAAAGAGGAAAAACCAAAGGATAAAGATAAAAAGCAAACGCAGTAGCAACTGCTGAGAGGATTAGCTGTGTCGATCAGTCTGCTGACGGAAGAAGTTAGAGACCTTAAGCAGGTGGTGGAAAGGGTGCATAACGAAAGCCAGAATGAAATCAAAGAGCTGCAGAAAGCTTTACAGGAAGGTGAAAGAAACCGGGAATGAGAAAAGAAGGAGTGGAAGGGAAGATGGCGAGAAATGGAAGAAAGAATCAAACAATTAGAGAAGAGAGGAAGAGTAGGAAGTGAACAAAATCTGCAACAAAAACTGAAAGAGATGGAAGGAAAAATAGAGTTGTTTAAATAGTAATTTGATATTCTATAGAATATCAAAGTATTATGTTCGATGCCTAAGAAAAACTGTAAAAAGTCTTATTTCCGACTTCGTCGGAAGGCGCTTTGCATTGATAAGAATGCCGAGGAATTACTAGCAATGACTGATTTTCGGCTTTGACGGTAACATATATATATATATATGTTATCCTTAATATATCACTACGGGCTTTGTATATATTGCCGGGGAATACCAAATCGTGCCAAACATTTTATATATTACTCAGCAAATCTATAAAATGCCTAAAGTGTTTTTTTCATACTTTTATATTTGCTTCAGTAATTTGTAGACAAATTATTTTTGTCTATTTATTGTGACGTCATTTTTCCACTCCCCAAAGATTTTTCTTGACATCGCTGCAATACAGCGCGATTGTAAAATTCATGCGCATGAAAAATATAACAACAACATAACAATAAATATAGGCTAGTATGCTCAGAAATATGATGAAGGAAAAATATAAAAGATACCCTTTTAATCCATTTAGTTGACCCTCGTCGCAAAAGTCATGAACGTTCGTGACATTAGGATGTAATATTGGGATAAAAGTCAACAGCTTCCTCGTTTGATACTGTTATCAAAAATATTTTTAAACGATAAATCGGAATCTCACGTACTCATTGTATTTCAAATATATATCTCTATTTCGAAAGTTGTAGCACTTTCATGGTTTCAAGCTGTGAATCACCACTGATTCTATATTTATACAAAACATCTTGCATATTATTGTACTGTTATACCCTGACCCTTCGTTATCTTTAATCGTTAGATATCTATATAACCAAAGGTTACTTTCTGAAATTTGTATTTCTCATTCTACATAAGTGTTTAGAAAGTTTATAAACGTTCAAAAGACCAAATGATTAATAACTTTCAACCTGAAAATGGCTCCTTTGCCCTTTCCTTATCATATTTCAAAACCTTTAAAAGCACCCTTTTTACCATTCTCTCTTTAGTCCTCTTCATTTTGTCTTGCGACTCGTATCGAATAGTTATATTTTCTGAAAGTATCTATTTTTATAATAAACAATAATAATACAATCATGCCTGCTTTTTTTAGAAGACACCAAAAGGGTAAGTAAAAATTCTATATATTCTTAACACATTTTTCGGAAATTAAAACAAACTCAAATATTGCATGTGTGTGTAAATATAATTGGTAATATGGTACAAATATAAAATCAGTTCATTTATACTCAACTGAAAGTAGTCTTAACTTTTGTTCAATTATAAAAGAATAAACAATCAATACTCGGTGAGAATTATAAGTAATTTTTACTGACGTAATACATTAACATGTATGAATTCGAACCCGGAAACTTTCGCTTTCCAAACGGACGATCTACCACCATAGCTATAAAGTCCTATATATAGACATCATTTTACACATATATATATATGAAAGATTTTAAGACTCTGGGAAATTACAACACTTTGAAATGAACAAATAATAAGGAACTTGGCTCTCAAAATAGTTTCAAATAATAATTAGAATAAAAACTAGATCACTGACAGCTGCTAACTCTGATAACGCCAGGTGTAGAGTGTATAGAAGAAAAGGACATTTATTTCTGTCTGAATATGGTGATTAGTTGTTTTTGCGTTTTTTCGTATATATAGTCATTCGTGAATCTTTTATCTGTAATTATCTTGTATGTGTATGTTCATTTTAATTAACAAACAGTCTTGGAATTCTGACTACCCGTCTGTTCAATTCGGCAACCAATACATAAACATAACAATCAAATATCTTTCTAGTATACATCTAAGTGCACCAAATCGATGCATGTCCTTTCTTTTTTGTTGACGTACAATTATATATTTTAAAGAGTTTGTTTAATTAATTTTGTTTCTTTTACAGATCCATCGCTGTACAAATATATCCCTGCCTTTATCATGTTGGCTGCGTTTATACTTTTCACTCTTTATTATATCCTCAGAAAATGTATAAATAAGTATTGGAAAAATTGATGATAATATGCCGAAACAAAAAGGACCAACCGAAATTTTACACAGGATGCATTTTTTGATCGAAAATAGTAAGTTATATTGGAAAGTGATTCTTCCTTCTGAACGCTATTCTCACTTAATACAAACATTTTTTTTATATTGTAGAAAATCAGTCTTTATATTATAATATAAAATATTATATGACAATAATTTATCTACTATAATGGTGGAAATAACTTATAAATATATAAGATACTAATACTATTTTATTTATATAATCTAATTATATATATATGTATACTCGGATTTACTTACAATTATAATATTAATTGTAAGAATATGATGAAAATGATACAATAAGAATTATTTAGTAATTCTATTACAATAAAATTTATAATTATGAGTGTATAAGATTTTTCAGTATACAGTTTTCTTACAATTACAATCGTAATGACGATAATGATGATAATTATAATATAAGTGTAAATGATAATAAAGATTTGAAACTTGGAGACTGGTAGAATATATCTTTATTATTAAGCTTACGGACAAACCAAATGAGAAATAACCAACGTTTCATCCATCCAACAATTTCTTATGCACAAGCTACGAAAGGAAACTCCCCAAACATCCCAAGTTTGTTAACTCCAAATATAAAAAATAAAAACGAATATGTTTACACTGCTGACAACGTGAGTAAATTAGAAAAACTTTTCGGAAAACAATCTGAACAAATAAATAATCTTCTCTCTCTATTAACCGTAAAAGTAAGAAAATTGTCAGCAGTCAGAAAATAGTGAAAAAATTACGTATTGCTCTTTGGAACGCCAATGGCTTAATGTAACGAAAACATGAGTTGTAATATTTAAAAAAAAATCATGACATTCAAATAATATTAATATCCGAGACGCACCTTGTTACTTTATTACCCTTATTCACAAGCCATGAAAACTATCACACGAAATCACGTCTTACCGACTAATCAGTCTATTATCTACTCTATATATAAGCTACTCGAAAAAATTCTTATTAATCGCCTCTTTAATGCTCTAGATATCCTTATACTTTCTGATCACCAATCTATGTTTTGAAAAGATCATTCAACAATCGAGTTTATTCATCGGATAACTCGTCAGTTATCACTAGATCTTGAACAGAAAAAATAATGTTCAGCAATATTCACGGACATAAGGCAAGCTTTTAATAAAGTGTGACATACCAGACTGCTATACGAGTTTAAAAAAACACTTCTATATCTTCTATAGTGAAACAATTAGATAAAACAATTAGTCAAAATTAGAGAAATACATACTTTTTTCAAAAATTGTACACTGGGAATAAAATTGTTTCAAGAATTTCTGAAACGTCATCCAAGAGTTCATCATAAAAAAGCTCAACATTTTTCCAAAGCCAGAGCTTCTATAACTGAACATCGTATTCTTAGATGATTCGCAAATATTAAAAAAGACTTATGTTAGAAACCAAAATAGATATATTTAAAGATCCTCAATATGGTTGAGACTGCTGTCCATCTGCTACCGAATGAAGGTTATGTCAAAAGAATAGATAAAATAATCCACTTTTTAAGTTACTACATTATTTCTAATGTGTTCAATATTGTTCTATATATTCTATTAGTATTATTAAAGATAACAAAGTCAAATTATTTTTTAATTAATGATTTTCTTTAATGACTTATATTTTGATTGCTTGTGTCCAAAACTGTTTTTCACCCAGTCCACAAATAGCTGAAAGTATCCAAAAATGATCAAAAGAAAAAGGTAATGTTACATAATTACATTACTTTTTAAATAATTGAAATAAAAAAACACTTTGTTAAGGGGTTACATGGGTTTACACCGGGAAAAAATAGCATATTTTCAACAATTTTTTTTTCTATATAAAAAATGGAATTCTTATTCAAACTTTTTATAGTATTTAAGATACATATTTAAAGAACATTTTCTGAATTTTTGGTTGAAAAATATTTTAAACTCAGCCATTGCGACGTCATTTCCGGTGACCCTACCGAAAAAAAGTGTTTTCGCGTTGACAGCAGAACTTATAAACGGTGGGGGTTTTTCTGTTGAAAAAATAGGGTATTTTAGTGAATACTTAAAACTAGAAACTGGACGAAGGAAAAAGAAAAAAATTAAAATTTTTTTGAAAGTCCCAAACCCATGTAACCCCTGAATGTCATTATCAGATTTCTTATATTTTTGTGATTATAGATAATAATTATTTATTGTATTTTAATATATATGCTAGTTTATATATATATATATATTATATTTTAAAATTAATTAAAGTTACTAAAAACTTTGAAATGTCCAAAACCGATGTCTCTATCCTATATATTTTTGATAACCTGTTGTTCTCACCAAAAACTCTAATTGCTGTTACTCGTCTTTCGGATATTATCTCTTTCGTTTTTCAACTCCTTCTCTCGACTTCTATCGCACGCGTCTTTACGCGACCGTCCGCCTCTTGGTACGATGTGCGGTTTTAGGGATATTCCCTAGACTCCCCTAGGGATCCGCTACAAATGTGTAATTTTCCTTTCTAGGTATTATATCTTTCAGTTTCGTTTTATATAGTTTTCCGGAGAGAGAACGTTCTTCCGCTATTAATACGCGTTGTTGGAGTTTGGTAGGTTAATGTAATGTGTAGAAATCTAATAAAATCACGTTAAAATAAGTGTAAAGATATTATTTATTCACAAAAATAAGAATCAGTAATATATAAACCAATTACAAATAGTATTATTTATTTCATTACATGAATATATAGTTTTATATCGATCCAAGATATAATGTTTATATTATTTTTACATTTTTATAGTAAATACTTTTATTATAAATTTTGTCTTCATTATATTTTTATTTAACAGGAGAAAAAATAATGAAGTTTAACAAGTTAATAACTTCCTCACGAAGGAAAAATCGTAAGCGTCATTTCACCGCTCCTTCTCATATACGTAGAAGGTTAATGTCTGCTCCTCTTTCGAAAGAACTCCGACAAAAGTACAACGTGCGATCAATGCCCATACGCAAAGATGATGAAGTACAGGTTAGTTAATTTTAAATTATATATTTTTAATTACTTCAATCACAAAATATTAATTTCCTCGTCATTATTTAATGTTTATACTATTTTGTCTATCTTTAAATTTCTTTAATATATTCATTAAAAATTATATTTCATGTATTTATTAATTGTTTCATATTTTGTTAATATGTACATATGTTGTTTATAAAGTTCCAGAAATAATGATTTTACAGTTTACTAGTAAAGCATATAATTGTTCAGTATAAACACAGGATAAAATTAATAAATTATATTAAACCTTTCGATACATTAACAGTGACTATATGATCCAATATTTAACACTTTATGTATTAATGGTGACTATAGTTATTCATAGATATTTAGCATATATTTCATCCTTTGTCTTTTTGATAAAATTTATGTTCGTGTTGTAACTGACCCGTATAGTAGAATCTTATTCGTAATGCAAGTATCTGTACTGCGGAATGATGTATACTTGTAAATGACAGGCATATCAAAAGGATTAACAAAATATAATTATAACGTTTAATTTTTTACACTCCAATTATATTATTGAAACATTGTAGTTGAAAATGATGTAATCTTTAGTTTTCTTTCACAACTTCTTAAAATGAAAAAATGAAAAAATATATTAATTTGGTTATTGCATTTGTTTTGCTCTATTAATTTCAACTTTTCAATAATTCTACTTTCATTAATATTGTTTCTTATTTGCACAGTGCAAGATAAAAGCAACTTGTAGTTGTTGATCAGCTACTATATGGAATAATTGGAGTATAAAAGGTTAAATATTACAAATATATATATATCAATCAGAATAATAAAAATTGTTGATTTATATTATTGTTATATATTATCTAATTTTTAGGTTGTTCGTGGACATTATAAGGGTCAGCAAGTTGGTAAAGTAGTTCAAGTCTACAGAAAAAAATTTATTATATTTATTGAACGGATACAGAGGGAAAAGGCTAATACTGCTAATGTATATGTTGGTATTGATCCTTCAAAGGTAATATATAGCTTTCTTAAATTGTATGTATATAATTAAAATTACACGTTATGACAAATGATGAACCAAACCATTCTCAGAGAATTGGACAAATAGTTAAACTTATAAGTATGCATTCAAAGTTTTTTTGAATGTCTGCTCATTCGTTTTCTTGGTCTGGTTATTGCAGATACATTGGCACTGATCGACATTTATCTAAATAAATTATTTCTTATAGTTTATCTTCATATTTTTAATCTATGTACCACGTGGTTTTGTTTTAGACTGTGATTGTCAAGTTAAAAATGGATAAGGATAGGAAAAAGATCATAGACAGAAGAGGTAAAGGCAGGCTTGCTGCTTTGGGTAAGGATAAGGGCAAGTATACAGAAGATACCACGGCTGCCATGGAAACTTCGTAAATAATTAAAAAATATATTGTATTTGATACAATAAAAAAAAGTAAATCTAAAAAACATTTCTACTTAAATTTCTGATTTATTAAACATAAGATATTTTGTATATAATTTATATAGTTAACATAATATATGCAATTAACATTTTTTATGGTAGACATCACGTGTGCATGATTTTGTTTTTATAACTAAATGCTTATTTAATCTATATATTGCCGACTATGTATAAAAGATATATAGATGTAGTATAGAATAATTTTCGTTTTTAGGCAAAGTATTAAAATGATTAATATTTCACATATTTCTAGGCATGTTATCAAATGTCAAAAGACAAACCGGCAATTTATAAAATTCCTGCTAATAACGTTTCTAATATTACCTGACAAGGTATGTGACTTTCAACGTTTGCCTCAAACTGAAAATTTCTTATTACCATTTCAGTATTTGTTCGGAAGTGACAAAATACGCTACTTTGAATTTTTTCAGCAAAGGTTATTTAGGAATAGGTTTTAATTGCGTCGCAAAATATTTATGCAATTATTTTAACGCTCCTGCACAGTGATGACTTCGAAGATAAAATTTTTCTGTAATATAAGTAGAGTGCATTAGTGCATTCAAAAAATTGTTAATTAATCGAAGGAAATGTTTAATTGTTGTTTAAGGGGCCCACCTAGTATGACTGCTTAAAAAAAAGGTGATTTTTAGGAACTTTTTTAAAGAAAACTACTGCATGAAATATTTTAAAATTTAGAAGATATATTTATACATAATTAAAGAGTATTCACTAAAATTTTCAAATGAAAAAAGGTAATTTTCCGTCTCCTGCGAAATTCACCTTTAGACTGGCATTGTTGTTTATATGACTTTTCGAACGTTACGCATGTATATAACTAGAATAATATTTGTAATAAATAGAATTTCCTTTTTCGGAAAGTCATATAAAGAACTTTCATAGAGGACAAACAGTTAGAAGATGAATTTCGAAGAGAACGGTACATAAATAATATTCTCCGAGCTTGTAGACAACAATAGACACTTGCATCGATTAATTATTCAATCAATTAATTATAACAATTATTTTGATGCACTAATATATATCCTCTGCAGGTATACCAACTTTACTTTCATTTTTTTTTAGATTGCGCTTGCGCCTTGAATTTGTAGTTGCGCATGCGTATAACATTTCAAAATTATTCAAAGTGTAATAATTATTTTAAACTAATTAACGATAAATAAAAAATATTTGATAAAATAAAGTTGAGGAGCCGGACAAACAAAAAGTCAGCAATTGATTGAAAATAAAAAACAATAGAAAACTTCATTGCTTTGCTTAGAAATAGGAAAAAACGTTGTTGTATTTTCAATTATTAATAACTAATTAAATAAATAATTAATAAAACGAGCAATTATGTATTTTAAATGTGCAATTAGTGAGAAATTAAGAGTAATTATTAATTTTTTTTCTACTGTTGAGGTTCTATGTCAACTTATCTGCGGTATCTTGTGTTGTAGCGTGTTCACTAATGCGCGGAAATAAATAATTCACTAAAGAAAAATATTATATGAATATTTATTTTAATAATGTATCAAAAAGRTCTCGTATAAAATATGTGATAAACTTAACAAAAATCTTAAAGAGGTAAGCGGAAGTAGTAGCTAATTKCACGTCTTTATTTCCTGCTTGTCGGTACGCGTGTCTATTGCTCAACGGTTGGAACGGAAGTATCGTCTTTGTAACTATGGAAATATTAATGTTCTCCTAG